AATTGTGTTACAATGTAGGAGTTGAATTGATCAGTAGTGGTTGGTATCTATGTAAATTTTTCGACTCTTTTTAGGACTTTGTTTTTTGTTATACTGATGCAGCCGCAAATACAAAAACCGCAGCTGCTATACAAAAATTAAAGAAAATTGAATTACCCTATTTTTAAGCTGCCTAAACTCAGCAGAGATGAGAAAAGTATCCTCAGGTAGATTGTTAAAAGGATCTGCCATTTTCGGCCACTTCTGGATGTCGGAACTGAAAAAAGTAGCGAAAATGTGGATATTGTAGTGTGTAGTCGTTGAGGCAGCAAACTATACCGGGGAGCAGTACTCGAGACTGTTATGCGTAGAAAAGTTCTAAACCCTAAGTAGTACTTACCGAGTGGTTTCAGAGTGAAGGGTTGAAATTCTGGAGAGTGCGAATGGGTCTCAATCGGTAGGATTCCTCACATCGTGTTTTCGGATGGGTCACTGTTGGTGCGTCGGGAAAACGGTTCCTTCTCCATCCGGCGGATGTAGCGAAGGCTATGTCTAGAGGTAGAGCCTATTTTCTACATCCTCGATAAAAAAGCCCTAGACGTCCCAACTTGTTACGGTTTCACGGTCCATAAAATCCGAATATTTCGCCCATCTCAATGCATATTCATACCTAGTAAAATTCCTCCATTCATAACAAAAAGTATGTACCTTTGAAAATGTTTACAGTCACATCCTCCCACTCGTTTTGTAGTCATTGCACAGACAACACATACAGGGTGACTTCGAAGTTGAGTCATTTATTTTAACAGTAAGTAGATCTGATCAAAAGAAATGTTTTTTTCCTATAACATTTTTCTAGTAAAATTAAAGTAACAAAGTTATAGCCCTAGTTTGAGTACCGCCCTGTCTCAATAATAATATTATGTGCTCGTGTTTGGCAACAACGAATATAATCCGCCTTATCGGTTCATCGCATCGGAAACAAAAAAGCGAAAGAACTTGAAACGTTTATCACGATGTCAGTCAATGTTTCAGTCGGTAACGCGTGAGTGAATAGTGGTGTTTGTTGCGTCGTGGCTCAAACGAAACAAAAAATGTCACATGTTTACGAAAATGCTGAACTTGTGGACATGAATCTTATTTACGGGGGGGGGAGTCTTTACAAAATGCTGCCGCGGCATCACGAATCTATGCGGAGCGGTTTCCCAATCGAGTGCAATCAACCATTCGTGCCTTTGTTAATGTAGTACAAAAGGCTCGTGAATCAGGTGACTTAACACCTCACAGGGGAGTGCATGCCGGTGCTCCAAGACCGCACGATCAAATACAGGTCCGCACTGAAATACTTGTCGGGAGGATACTTTATAAAACAAGGTAACATTTTTTTTATTTTTTTTTTATTTTTACACACATATTTTGGTTTATCTTCCTTTTACAATCATTATCTGAAAATTAATGACTCAACTTCAAAGTCTCTATAATCTTCTCCTAACTACGTAACTTTAACATCACCATGTGCAAAAATGTGACAGAATGGTGAGATTGATTCAATATACACGGTGTTTTTAAACGTGAATTATGTATTTTAACTGCTTGGAGAATACGCCAAAAGAAGTTGATAAACCAAATATAAAAGTTGCATAATAAAAGAAATAGTAAAAAATTAAAAGTTTGAAAAAATAAGAATGTTATCCAGATTTTTTGGTACTCTCGACCACTACCGTGTAGAATCGTAGCGTTTTTCGTTTACTACTCTTATCGTTTATCTAAATTTGGCGAACGTTTTGTGCTATTGTATGGTTTTCAGTACGGGTGTTTGGTTCGATCAGTTGTATCAGTCTTTCAGTAGTGCGTATACTTCCATATGTCTGATAATTTTGTGGCAAAAAATGCCCATGCTTACGAAAACAATAAACTAGTGCCAACAAAATACAGCCGCAGCATGCAGGTTATATGCGGAAAAGTTTCATTTAAGGAAGACATTTTAGAAATTGTCGAAGATGACCCAACAATGAGTACTGGAGCCGTAGCAGCTTAAGTTGAAGTTTCTCATAGTAAAGTATTGAAGACAATACGACAAGAACAGTATTATCCTTATCATTATAAACGGGTACAAGCTTTACAACCTGAAGATCATCCTAGATGAGTTGTGTTTTGCCAATAGCTTTTAGAACAGTTCGGCAGAAATTAAGATTTTACGAAATTAATTTGGTGTACAGGCCACATTTATACGAAATGGAGTGCATAATTTCCACTACAATCATGTTTGGGCAGTAGAAAATTAGCATGCTGTAAAAACAACTGTTTTCAGCATAGATTTTCATAAAATGGTTGGGCTGGCGACTTTTTTTCACCTCGACTGACCGGTGAAATTCATTTATATTTTCGTCGGCAAAATCTGCCATAATTATTAGATGTTCCTCTAAATGTGAGACAGAATATATGGTTCCTACATGACCACATTTCAGACGAAAAGTTCAAGATCACTTAAATAATGAGTTTCCGAATAGATGGATACTGCGCAATGGATACATTTCTTGGCCTGATCGCTCCTCAGATTTAACGCCTTGCGTTTTTTTTCCTTGTTGCTATTTGAAAGAGTTGGTGTATCATGATGGAGCAGTAAATATTCTGGAAGAACTGCAACAGCGCACTGAAGATGCTTATGATTTAATTCCTGGACAGGATTTTATTTTCGGAGCTTTTAAAGAGTCGTGGCTTCGCCGAGCAAGATTTTGCGTTAATCAAACAAATAGTGACAATTTTGAACTTTTTTTTTGTAAAATCGGCACCCATTTCACTTATGATTTTTCTTAAATAATTTTTAATAATGTGAACCAACTCTCTTATTATGCCTCTTTTATACAGACTTTGAAGTTGAGTCATTAATTTTCAGATAATGATTTTAGAAGGAAGATAAACCAAAATATGTGTGTAAAAATAAAAAAAAAAAATATGTCGCCTTGTTTTATAAAGTATCCTCCCGACAAGTATTTCAGTGCGGACCTGTATTTGATCGTGTGGTCTTGGAGCACCGGCATGCCCTCCCCTGTGAGGTCTTGAGTCACCTGATGGACGAGCCCTTTGTACTACATTAACAAAGGCACGAAGGGTTGATTGCACTCGATTGGGAAACCGATCCGCATAAATCCGTGATGCCGCGGCAGCATTTTGTAAAGACTCCCCCCCCCCCGTAAATCGTAAATAAGAATCATGTCCACAAGTTCAGCATTTTCGTAAACATGTGCCATTGACTGAATACAACTGAATAAAATTGAAGTAAAAGCATCGTGATAAGCGTTTCAAATTCTTTCGCTTTTTTGTTTCCGATGCGATGAACCGATAAGGCGGATTATATCCGTTGTCGCCAAACACGAGCACATAATATTATTATTGAGACAGGGCGGTACTCAAACTTCTAAAGGGCTCTAACTTGGTTACTTTAATTTTACCACAAAAATGTTAAAGGAAAAAACATTTCTTTTGTTCAGATCTACTCACTGGTAAAATAAATGACTCAACTTCGAAGTCACCCTGTATATGTGCATCGAATGAATTTGCAAATATTTCGATCAACCTACAAAAGTATGCTAAGATTATGGTACAAATAAATGTATTTTGTTTGACAGGAGCATTGAAGATTTTCAATATACTTATTTTATTTCGTGCTTTTTGCTGGTTCATGTTCTTATTTTGTCAAGTGCATTTCCAAGTCTCTTGGTTTGATTTGACTTACTTATGCCAGTGCTATTGTAATCTAGAAAATCATAGTTTTTTAACAAAGCGACACTTGGACTAGCTCATAAAACATGTTTATAACGTATCCAATTCTTTGAGACTACTCCATTGTCCTTGGGCTGCACTCCTTTTGCTTTAGACCTTTTAGCTTAGCTTTGCCTCATTTTGGACTGACCCTTACCCCTACTGAAGCCTTATATTCTTGGGGCCTGCCTTTGAACTGTTCTTGGCCATGAGCTTTGGACCTCAGCCTTGGCTCTTAACCTTAACTTGGGCCTTATTTAAGATCTACAAACCTAGGCTACTCCAACCTTATCCTTACTTCAATTCATGGCCATGCACCTGTACATCAAGCCCTGACCTTTTTCATTTATATAGTCGTTAGTTCTGTTCTTTAAAAGGTAATAAGTTTTCTAAAATTTTGATGTGTTCTGTTTTTCTCCCCTCTGCCTCTAAGCATATTGCCCCATCTGAGCTGCCAGAAGCTAATTATATCATCGTTTCTGTGTGAACGCGGAAGAGGTGGAACATCGATAATGATAATTGATAATGTTCCATCTTTTCTGAGCAGCATAAAAAAGGACGGTTATACATTTTTTTCCATAAGATGGCGCGATAGATGAGACGTATGTCGTATGTCAAATCCTCGGTGATCTGAACTGCGACAAGCCGAAACTATTGGCTTCTTCGTCGATCACTGGGATCTCTGAATTGGCTCTGCATCTGCAAAGCTGTTCTAACAGGGCATATGACGAAAGCTTACTTAAAAAGGCAAGTATTATCGTTGGCTCCTTTCAACAATAGATTTCTGAGCATTTTTTCAATTATTATAAAACAATAAATTATAAAGAACAGTTAAAGCAGTTTTATTGAAAAGCGATAAATCAATTTATTACCATTAATTGAATAATTAAATATAATACTTATCGACCTAGAAAAAACAGTACAATATTTTATTATCATAGAAGCTAGCTTACCTTTTTGTTCTGCCTAATACTGAAAGTTTGCTTTTGTTATTGAAATGCTGAAAATAATTTTTTTTTAATGATACTTGATATAACAGAAAGGCAGGCATTACATACTTTTTTAGCAAGTACAATATGTTTGATAAGGGTAAGGGTCTTTTAAGTTTTGCATATAGAAACATAGTAGGCCGCGCGGATCGAACGTCAGTACTGAATCTTAACCTCACTCTTAAGTAAACTTAAATTAAAATTTTCACAACGATACATGCAGTGATATCACTGCAGTGAATTTTTAAGTATCACCAAGTCATTAGAAAAATGGAACTCAACCGAAAACATTTTCGCGCCATAATTTATTACAACTTTCAGAGAAAATTATCGCAACAAGAATGCCTTGCTGAGTTACTGTCTGTTTTCGGCAACGAAGCGCCACATCAATCGACAACTTCCCGTTGGTATGGAGAATTCAAACGTGGACGGGTGAGTCTTAGCGATGATCCCAGGGTGGGTGCACAAAAAACAGCTGTCACCCAGGAAAACGTCGATGCTGTGCGCAAACTCATCATTGAAGATAGACATGTGACATATCGCGAGATGAAGGCGTCCTTGAAGATCTCAACGACCTCAATTAAAAAAGTTTACATGAAGAATTATGAGTAAGAAAATTAGTTCTGTTGACTGAAGAGCAGAAAGCCGCAAGGGTTAATTGGTGTCAAAAAACACGACCGTTTCAATTCCGGAAACTCAAAAAATGTGTACAGCATTGTTAGTGGAATTACTATTATGCACCAGAAAGTAAACGACAGTCGGCTGTTTGGGTGTTCCAAGGTAAGCCAACAAAAGTCATCCGTTCTCGAAGTATTTCGAAAAAGATGGTCGCGACATTTGTGTCAAAAGCGGGTCATATTGCAACAATTCCTCTCAATGAGCAAAGAACTGTTACTGCGGATTGGTATACCACCATTTGTTTGCCAAAAGTCATCACCGAGCTTCGAAAAATCAACCCCGAAAGAAGAATCATCCTCCACCAAGACAATGCAAGATCGCACACAGCCCAAATAACAAGGCAGTATTTATCGGAAGAAAACGTGGAATTATTGGACCATCTTCCATATAGTCCCGATCTAACTCCTAACTATTTCTTTACTTTCCCGAAAATTAAAAACAGACTGCGTGGTTAAAGGTTCAATTCACCAGAAGAAGCAGTTGACGCATTCAAAAATGCCGTTTTGGATCTGCCAGCAAACGAGTGGAATAAGTGCTTCGAAAATTGGTTCGAGCGCATGCAGATGTGTATTAATCTTCGTGGAGAATACTTCAAAAAACAATAAAGTCATTTAAAAATATCGACTGTTGTTTTATTTCCGTATGCTAACTACATCAGCCGTTATGCATTTACTTTAGACATAGAGGGTGTTTCAAATTCGACCCTCACCTTCTCGGAAGCTGTAAGAGATACGAATGGGGGCAAAGTGCGTATTTAGGTAATCTACAAAATGCCGCTTAGAATGTTTCGTAATTCAAAGTAAAAAAACGATTTTTTCCAATATCGTGTTAACCTTTTCCTGACTTTATTTGTAGATTTTAAAATAACTTGGACACTGACATTGCCACTTTTTCTCCTCTATAAGATGGCATAATTAGAATTTCAATATGACGTTTCGTCTCTTGTTCTCCAGCATCACCTTTATTTTTTCGTATCGGCGCCATATTGGATTTTTGCACAGATGAATAGAGTTTTTGATTAAGATTGCAAAAATGTATCATACGCATTTGCATTGCTAAATTTTAGATGTTGATTAAAATAAACAGGATTTCCCAGGTAGGCCTTGAAATTATGAGACTCATTTGTTTCGAATACGAGATATATCCCAAAATCACTGCCATTTTTTCCTGATCGTATTTCAGATGAGATTTGAAAATGAATTGCATGTTGTCATTGTTACTTATTTTCCTCTACAAAAAGTTTAGTAAAATTTACAATTCGACATTATGCTCGACTTCCATCACCAACATTGTTTTTTCATATGGACGCTATATTGGAATTTTGTACATTTAAATAGACTTTACAGTCCTAAATTGAGTAACGTCTTTCTTTAGTTGGCCATGAATTGGTTGTACGATGAAAACCATGAGTAAATAAAAACGTATAGTAAGACCTGAGCACAGCACGAAAATCTATCGATGGTAATAACAATAATAATAATAATAAATAAACGGAGGTAAATCATAGCAGATGTTCAAAATGTTCGTTATTGTGTAGACAAAACCTCACTCTTCTCTGTACATGGTTCACTGTTCGATTCATTTTTCTTCCTCTGAGTCTTCCAAACTCGGTAGCTATGTTCAATTTGAGGTCTGGTCTGGTATACGCAACAAATGTAAAATGTAACAATTTCAAGGCATACCTAGGAAATTCTGCTCTTCTAAAGTAACTAAGGTTTGGCAATGTCAATGTATGAAACCAAAATTAAAAACTCTATTCATCTGCGCAAAATCCAATATGGCATCCATAAGAAAAAATAAAGTTGATGCTGGAGGACAAATGAGAAAACGTCAAATTAAAATCCTAATTATGCCATCTTGTAGAGGAGAAAAAGTGGCGATATTAACCTGCAATTTATTTTGGAATCCCACCCCAGAAAAGGCATTTAGTCGAGTATGCGAAACAAATGACTATCTAATAATTCCAAAGCATACCTAGTAAATTCTGCTTTTTTTAAATAATTAAGGTTTGGCAATGCCGTTGTATGACATATCATCATCATGGCCTTAAGCTGTTATTGAATTTTAGGAGAAAAGGTCAAAATTTTAATTGTGTGTTATATAAACAGTAAAGTAGTAAGTTAAGACATGTTATCAACGCAAAAATGTTTTTGAATTAAAAATGGTAGTCGCAAAGTAAAGCTAAACAACACAAAATATGGCTCCATGCTATAAAATTCTTTTTTGACCTTGTGAGTTCTTATTAAACGTTTTTGCTTTTTAAGAGATTTTAATCGAGTATTCAATTTATGTGTACATTTTTGTTAAACAGAGATGTATTGCAGAAAAAAAGGGAAAGTGTAAAAAAAGTCCATAAGTGTTTACATAATGTTACGAATTCGATGCATTAGCATTGCTATCTTGGTAACCGTTAAATGTACGAAAATTAAGGTAACAATGTGGATTTCAATGATTAACCATGACCCCGTTTTAATATTAAACAAATATAAAGCCGTTCCGGAATTATCCGGAAAATAAATACCGTATTCGTATTGTAAATGTCTTAGTAAATCGTTCTTCTGTATCCACACCAGCATTTTTTGATTTATAATTTTTGTATATAGCTTATATTCTTTCGCTGTTAATGATAACTATATAATATTTTTACCAGGTGTCATCTAAGTTCAATATGCATTAGTGAGCGATACTATTAGATAGAAAATATTGATAAATTAATTTGATTTTGAATTAAAAAATTAAAATGAATTTTATAAATGCTTCATATAGCTCTGATGAAATAATTTTCTTGATGTTTTATATACAGGGTGTTTCAGTTTAATGTTGCATAACTTTAAGATTCGATAGAACTCTTAAAATTAATGCATTAAGCCTATATAAACATGGGTCGAAAAATGCGTGGCTTCCGAAATACAGGGTGTTTAAATTTACTTTCTAAAATAGTTTTTTTTAAATATTTCGAAAAATTGGTATACAAGGGTTTTTCGGTACGACAAAACGAACCATGGGCATGGTTTTACTGTAACTGCTAGAGGGCGCTCACTACTGTACCTGTAGTGTATTAAAATGACCGAGAATTTTTTCTTAGTGCAATTTTTTGCTTTTTGAATAAAAAAACTGATTCTTCGCACTTTTCAACATAAAAAATCTCTCTTGTGAGTTTTCGTTATAGTTAGCCGTTTTTGAGATATTTCGATTTTTAAGGTTCGATGCATTTTTAATTATTTGTGATAAAATAACGTTAAAAAGTCAGTATCTCGATAATTTTTAGAAGTACGCTGTGCCTGCAAATATTTTTGAAATTGAAAGCAGAATAAGGTTAAACGTCAATTAGTTGACAGTTAGTTTTGTTGCCTGTTAAAACCTGAAACGTTTTTTTGCAATTGTGAATGAACGAAATTTAGTTTCTTTTACCTTTTTTTTTGTAAGTTTTATAATAATAACATTTTTATTCTCCAATCAAGAGTTAGCGGATATTCATTTTGTGTATGGCTTTGTAAATGGAAACGCAGCAGAAGCAGCCAGAGAATACGCACGAAGATTGCCAAACAGACGACATCCAACTCGCTCAGTATTTGTAAGTGCATCGCCAAATAATTGAAAATGGTTTTGGAAATCTCCAAAGGGATCAAAACAGAAATGTTCATCAGCGCAGATTTACCCGTATGATACTGCGTGAGTTTGATAGAGATCCGACCACAAGTGTTAGGAGAGTTTCTGGTGCCTTGGGAATTTCAGCAAGCCATGTTCACCGTGTTCTTAGAAATGATCATAGACGTCCTTACCATTTGCAACCTGTGCAAGGACTAGAGCCAGGGGACGGAGAACGAAGAATTACATTTTGTCAGTGGATTCTTGATAGAACTGATAATAATAGGGAGTTTTTAAGTAACGTTTTATGGACCCATGAGTCATGCTTCACTAGACGTGGAGTGGTAAATTTTCATAATCAACATATTTGGTCGCATGAAAATCCGCATGCAGTTCGGGAAAGAAATTTTCAGCATGAATTTAGTTTGAACGTGTGGATTGGTATCTACCGTAATCGACTATTTGGATCCTACCTTTTGCCTGCAAGGTTAAATGCTGCGACCTTCTTGGAATTTTTAAAGGCTAAACATGCAAATATATGGGATGATGTTATGTGAGATTTAAGAAGACTGGCCTGGTTCCAGCTTGATGGTTGTCCAGGTTGATAGTTAGAAACTGGCTGGACGAAAATTATCCAGAAAGATGGATCGGCCGTGGAGGACCAGTCGCCTGGCCTCCACGATCCCCTGACCTAAATCCATTAGATTTCTTTGTGTGGGGATTTCTAAAAGAAAAAGTATACCAGACTCCTGTAACCACAAGAGATATACTAATAGACAGAATCAGGAATGCATGTGATGAAATAAGGCCTTATTTGAATAATGCTATACCACGTTCGATCATTCGTAGATGTGAATTGTGTATTGAACAATTGGGTTTACATTTCGAGGAACTACTTTAGATTTTGTATGTTTGTCCTAACTATCCAATAGCATTTTAGTTGTAAATAATTAATTTAATTCGTTAAAAATAATACTGGAAAATTAAACAATTTAATATTCTGTTTTTTTGTGTTTATTTGGAGTTAGGAATTATTGCTGTGTTTAAAAACGATCATCTTATTTACTTTACTTTACAAATCGAAAATGTAAAAAAAATATTATTTTCCCATAAATAATTAAAAATGCATCGAACCTTAAAAATCGAAATATCTCAAAAAAGGCTAACTATAACGAAAACTCACAAGAGAGCTTTTTTATGTTGAAAAGTGCGAAGAATCAGATTTTTTATTCAAAAAGCAAAAAATTGCACTAAGAAAAAAATTTCGGTCATTTTAATACATTACAGGTACAGTAGAGAGCGCCTTCTAGCGGCTACAGTAAAACTATGCCCATGGTTCGTTTTGTCGTACCAAGAACCCTTGTATACCAATTGTCACTGTTATACAGCAAATATTGTTCGAAATATTTAAAAAAAACTATTTTAGAAAGTAAATTTAAACACCCTGTATTTCGGAAGCCACGCATTTTTCGACCCATGTTTATATAGACTTTATGCATTAATTTTAATAGTTCTATCGAATCTTAAAGTTATGCAACAATAAAGTGAAACACCCTGTATACTATATGCTACTATAAGGGAACGGTCTTACCACTAGTTTATAAAGGAAAATACTTCTTAAAAGCTTAACAGTCTTACTGGCAATTTTATTAAAACAAAATTGCATTCTAAGAACAGTATTAAAGCAGTTATAAAATAAACTAGCACGGACAATTGAAAATTATGAAGTATATTTGCTAGTTGGGTCTACAGTGGACTAGATCAATCGCGTGTAGCTAGGCAATATCATGTCATTAACTTGTTTGGTTAACTATATTGTACAACAACCTCTGATAGAATTTCCCTGTTTAAAGACATTCATATTAAGACGTTTCAGCTTGTATGCTTTTACCGATGTAGCACACTGCAAAACTGAATACACCAAAGGAAGTTATAACTGGTTTTCAGAAGCGCTCCAAAGAAACTGATCTCGCATCTCTACATCACGCCACTTACAGCAGCTCCCTCTAGACAGCTT